ACCATGGTCAACCATGTTTGAAAGCAATATCAATACCATGGTTTACCATGGTCAACCATGTTTGCAAACAGCATCCCTACAGCATGGTCAAGAAAAACCTACATAAATATACAATATCAGGGTGCAAATCATACTGAGCAGTAGTATAATTCACTCATTAATAGAAGGAACAAAATAAATAAAACAATTATTGCCTTTTCAAACAAATATTTGCACTCACTTTTTTAATGCAACAGAAAATAATTTGAATACAATCAGCATGTAAATATTAGCCAAAATTTTTGTTTCTACACTAAAGTTACTATCATGAAATTTGGTTGGCCTGGTGCTCTTTTGTCCTGACAACTTACTGTACTTTCTGTTCAATGCTTAGTGCACATCTACAGTATGGTAATAATTTTTAGAATTATTTATATTTTTTCATATTATAATACACTCAATAAAATAACTTGATTATGTATACAGCCAATCTGTTTATGCATTTTAATGTGCTAACTAGAATTCTTTTAAAGAAAATTGATCAAAGAAACAGATAAAATGACTTTGCTTAAAAATACTTTTTCCATACAGTTTTGTTAAGTATAAATGAATAATTGCAAGACCTTCTCGAAAAAATTCATAATTTTCTCACTAAATGAGAAATAAATTGTCATAAAGAGAGAAGTTCACTTTGTAATAGCTTCTGCAAGACTTTTTCTAAGTATGTTGTGAATTTTGATTCCCCACTATGATTCCTTGTGGGTTTTTAGCCTATCAAAATATTTTCTCGGCTCTGTACATTACTTCTTGTAACAGATCTTTCTTGAACCTTAAAATCAATGTGGAAAGATATAAAATAATTAATGTTCTGTAATTGTATATGAGTTACGTGCACTTGCTAGCATTCTGGTTCGCTATATTAATTCCCAAAGAACTCCACAAGAACGTAAACGATTCAAGTCGTATTTCGAAACATAAATGTTGTTTCACGCTTTCGAAAAGCCAGCCAGGCATTCAGCTTCATTGACAAACCTCATTAATATGCTTAAAGCCACGAAGAGCAAGATTCCAGCTAGTTAACTACAGAATAAATTGGGTTTGAATAAAAAGTGAAAAGCAAAATAAGAGTCTCAATGTACATGCCTGATAGTGATTCAATCCATGTCCTCATGATCAGCCACCGATTTTGCAATCCAGGAAAGTAAAAATTGAACCCATTGCACGATATCAAACTCTTGCTGAGCAAATCCAGCTTCCAAAACTCATAAAAACTTCTTTTGAACAGAGATTATACGGYATTTTTCTCTACAAGAAACGGTTACCGATGAATAACAACATTAGGCGCCAAAACACAGACTATGAGCCCGCGTACATACCGGCTAATCACCAGTCCACTCACGGTCACAGTACAGTTTCTTAGTGGAAAGAAACAGGACTTGCAAATGTGTAAAGATGGTTTGAAGATGTTTATATTTTAAATGCACTGGAAATAGTTTCAGCAGTGGGTAACAGTAACAGGAAATAAATAAGTATATTTTTCAATAATGTATTGTGTGGAAGTTTATTCGAAATGCACTGGTAATCTAAGATATGGATTTCAAAAACGATTTTTTACATGATGTAGGTAAAGGTTAACTTTTAAAAAGCCTCACTTACATACTTACTTACAACTATATGGTGTTAGTCTCTTGTTAGTTTCTAAGGAAAAAGTTGACATTTTTGCTAGCAAATGGGTAGAGAGTTATGATAACTCAGATATTCTGGCTGACCATGGTTGACTGTGTACCATGGTCATCCGGGCATTAACATATTTTGACCATGGTTGATAGTGTAACATGAAAATTGATTCTTATGT